TGTTGCCGGCATGACCAGGAATTATAGAAAGTGAGTGCTGAGCGTCTCCATGGCTTTTTTCATCCATTCCTGCATCTTGCCACCTTCGTTTTGCGGAGATATCGTCATAGGTTTTTCGTCTTTTTAGAACAACAACATCGTTAAATATCCCGCAAAAGCATACAGGTCTTGAAGAAGTAACGCCGGTGTCGCGGAGTTCCGCTATTTGGCGCGTTCGGTTTAAGTTTCATACTCGCACTGCCTCGGCGATGCAAGCAACGAGACACACATGTTTGTTTAATTATCGGATTTATTTTACTCCGTCAACCTTTTGGACCCACTAAACAAACTTCAAAGTTCTAGAACTAGTAAGGAAAAATGTAATTGAGGGTGCTGGAATCAAAAGTTATAGTCTTAGAATGCTATTAGGCTTTTAAGAACCAAATAACGATCGGACTCCGTTTGTCCAGTTTTAAGGTATCGTATGCGGAGTATGGTCATATAGGCAAAAATAGACGTGTATTCAATCCTTTATGTGGAAGGCCTGTCCGACGGTTGTGGTGTCGTTCCCATGTTTATCCTTCATGTGCGGACTTAGCTTTTTTTAAATTACGTCTGAGACGAAAGGAATTTAACTTTCTGACAGCCCTTAGTCTTGAAGATGGTTTTGAAGACAGAATTATACTACCTTTGACCTCGTTGAACATGCCAGATTGCCCCAAAGTGATAGACACTTGCCGTCCCTGACTTGACCAATGGCCTTTATGTTGATGGGCGCGGGAGACTTGGAATTTCCGACGATAGCTCGGCCATTGGAATGGGCAATAGTTCCACTGTCCCCGAAAGCCAGCTCCCCTTTTCTGCCGAGCGCCGCTTATCCGATAAAATTCTTCAAAAAAGTGACAACTTTGAGCAACGGTGGCAGGTTTTTGTCGCATCCTTAGATGTCTGTGACGAAAAAGTTCATGTCATCAACCAGCTGCCACACCAAAGAAAATTAGAACTCTTGCTTAACTTTGTTAGTCCTGGATTATTCTTTATTATTTAACGTTAAAGGAGTTAAAAGATGCTAAATTCTTGCCCTCGACTTGCGTTGAAAACATAAAAGGCGCCAAGATTTCTCACATTGCAGTAAGAGTGGTCAAAATCCTGTTACGAGACTTAGAACTCCAGACGCAAGCAGGATCATGAAGAATTTCGGAGGATTTTCGCCTCGTCTGAAATATCACTTAGGACCAACAAAATAGAGTAAGCGCTAATTTATTAAGTGCATTTCAGGTGGGTTTTGGATTTCCTAAACGAAAATGGTCTGGAGGCGATAACCGCGTTCATGGGTGACGCGTTGCACTTCCTTTCGAGGTATGCGATCGCGATTCTTACGCATTTTATAGAACCGATACATTTCGCAGAACCTTTCACGAATCAACCCACCGTCGTCCGTCATTAACGGACAAAAGTCATGAGGATCCTGGCACCAAGGATTCGCCAAATAACTTTAAATCCAAACATCCGCGTGATGCTGTAGAACGCGAGAAAATCCAAACGCCATACACGCCGAATTTCTCTCTCAATAGAAAAAAGTCTTCTTCGCCCGTTGGCAGGGGTCAAAGCGTCCTTCCTGGGGCCACCTCGTCCGTGGAAACTTTAAAAGAATGCCTCCACTTGTGCTTGAAGTGCTTCAGAACTCTTTTAAACAATCAGGTTAGCTACATGTCTTAAAAACCCATATATTAAGCAGAAATGGCTTCAAAGCTTCCCTTTGTCACCCCCTGATTTCCCGTTTTCAGGTGTCGCACCAAAGTTTAGCTGTTAGCCTACATTTTGTGGCGTTAGTAACAAGATAATATTGGGGCTTGAGAAACTTTTCTGGGTTGTTAGCGTTTAAAACTGTGTTCACGATTACCTAAAAAGGCTTGCAAATTGGCGGACGAAGTGTTCTCAGGTTACGATTTGCCGGCCACCGTTTTGCTTTTTGATCAGAACCCGAGCTCTGTTACTGACCGGACGTGTATCTGGATGTGATGACTGCCGTTAGGCGACTTAATTGACAGATTAACCAGCGGCGAGCTTCCGCGTCAGAATACGATGCTGGAAGTTAGCGAAAGCACTCATAATCATTAAAGAGAGGACAGCCTTTATTTAATTTCTGCCAAACTATAATGTTAAAATTTTGTTCTTAAGGTACGTACATTCCAACGATCTGCTTGGACCGTCCGTATAACCAGTAAATTTCAATTACGATGTCGAAATTCAAGGTTCAGTTAAAAAATACAGGGGACCCTATCGGAGGTTTCGTACAACCTGAGATTGTCCAATCGATTACCTTTTTAATAAGTATTTATGGCTACTCATTCTCTAACAGTTTGAAAACTAGAGGTTCAACTACGGCTATTCCTTGCAAAAGGGACTAGTTTGTTGGCAATCTAGTAAAAAAGGACGTCGACTAAAATCACAACCAGAAAGTTGAAATCCACATTCAACACACAGATGGTTTTAGTCCATTCAATGTCGTATAAAAAAATAATTAAATGCGATTTTAGATCTTATAAAAATAAAACACTCCAGGGACAAAACCTTAATCTAATATTTTCAGCGTTTAATTCGCGAAATTATAGATCGACTCTCCTGTTCACTTTTCTATATCCACTCCTTGATTCTGGACCCTAAGACCATATTCTGCGCCTATATGGGCTTACAGAACGTCTTTTTTACGTTAACTATTCTAGGTTGGGTGCGCCAGGACATTTGACAACCCGGAAGCCGTTGAAATCATCACATTCTGTCTGCTTCATCCCAGTTATGCGTGAGTAAAATTGACGCTGTCTTATTTTTTGGTTTGACGAGTGCCCGTTTTCGTTTGCCGAGTGTCTTCGGGTTGACAATTACCGTCTTCTATCATTAAGCTTAGTCGCACGGTTGTTAATTTGCTAAATGGACAGTTTCTTGCATTTTCGCCTTAAGCGCAATAAAATAAGGTGCCGTGTTTGAAGCTAGAGGTTTATCTGAAAACCTTGTATCACAGTTAACTTTTACCTTGCACATTTTCGGCGAGTTGTCCTATTCGCATCATAAGGGATTTAATTCCCCAATTGAATGATCCAAGGTAGGGTGAGTCTAGCGATATACCTCCGTTATCGTTTGATTAACGTTAGTATACACCGCAGGCTTTCAGTTTATTTTTAGATGTTCACCTTTTGAATGCGTTCAGTCTTCCACATAGTTTCGAAAGAAGCATTTTCAAAAGTAGTGCGTAAAACCTAAGTTATATCGCCCTTATATGTTCACCTTCAGGAATATGGGAGTTTCGCGGGCATCGACGCTCTAGTTGCTCTCCTAACATGACCGAACTTTATTACTTATTTGTCTCGTAAATTTCGATTGACTGATGTGGCATATATTAGCGAATATTCGCATCTTTTTTAAGTGCCATTTTTTCCTATTTGCATTGCAGCAGAACTCGGGGTTTGTTTGATGGGTGTTCTTATCACTTTTTCCCGTAGTGCCTTGTTTAACCAACAAGTCTCACATATTTAACTTGGTTTTCAGCCTGACATTTTTACAACGCCATGAATCTCTTCTTTACACTTTCCTTGGTGTTGCATTAAACGATCTTGCCTTTTCAAGACGGCAGTCAATCTTGCACAACCAACTCTGTCCAGCATTATTCTTTCGCGTTAATTGGGTTGCAGTTTCCCGGCCTAGTTTTCTTTCTGATGCGTGACCAGCTGCATCGCCTTTTCCCTCTTAATCTGTTGAACCCTTTACACAACCTTCTCTGCAGGACGAAAGCGTTGGCACTGGATCTGCTGTCTGCCGTGTGTTTAATTGAAGGCGGTCATGCGCGCGTTCTCAGGGCCTTCGATCACCTTCGCCGTACTATTGGAGAGAACGCGTGCTTTGAGACTCTGGTGCGAGACTTCGTTGTACATGAAAATCTATCCATGGAGCAGTACAATCTAGAATACTCGGTCAGTGTTTTGGTGGAATGTTCCTTTCGCTCCTAGCACTGCTTGGGTCTCTGTGCCGTATAACACTTCTAGAAGTCTAACGCATTGCTCAAGCCACCTACAATAAGATATCGTTAACATGAATTTATTGACTTTTCAGGCATTTCCAGCTCCTCAACCTGTTACCCTGTCATTACACATATTTGCTATCCTCGGTATCAAAATGCATGGGCGGGGCCTCTGAGGAAATGTAATTAGTAAACTCTTCAAACCGACTGTGCACCATTGGTAAGCTATTGAGAATAGACGTTATGTAAAAACAACGTAGAATGGCACGGGGTTTAAGTCCTGACCCTGAATAACGGATGACAAGTTAGTACCCCTACCTGATCGGCCTACATCTAATCTCATATACGTTTTGTGCCTGTATCATCTGTCACCCATACATATTTTGTCGCAAGTGATAAGGTCTCGGAGACTCAACGATGTATTGCACATTAAAGATCCTTATTATCACTCGCCTTACGGACGAGACACCAGTACATAAACCACTTTCGCCTGTTTTGAGTTAAATCCTCATATGCACTGCGCCGTTCTGACGTGCAGTTTCTATCCCAAAGACAGTCCACGTTCGAGTGCGTCTTAAAGAGTGATTTTACCCTCGTAGAAGAAAATCGTTTGAAGATGCCATCTTATGCGTTGGATCACGATCCATGTGTTGGGGAAAAGAGCAAACCGCCCCGAACCTTAACATTCGGAATACAATTTTTGGACCACTGACCCGTTTTAGCCCACATCTCGCCTGGGATCGGCTTACAATTGCCCCGAAGAACTCGTTTTTAGAGGTTGTAGCTGACAGTATAATGTTGTTCTCCGAACAAAGCGTCAGGCTGCTGTAACTCCTTACTGTGACTTATTACATCTAGTCTCTTAAGTCCTTAGTTTTACGGAGTTATGTTTGTCTTTTTTAGAGACCTGAGCGTGTGGCTGGAAATAGGCCAAATCTGACATTGCACCCGATCTCAGCATAATTAGTCGACCTAATGTTGACTTGTCGCTGAAGCATGATGAGTGAGGAGAGTGGGCACTATCCCAAGCGCATATAGTTCGTGTTTTCCCTAGTATTTCAATTCGAAAGTCGTGGTCAGTATTACTTTTTTTCGGGTCAAATGCCAGCACACAGGCTTCTGCCAATTCACACCCAGGCGTATTTCAGTAAGGTGTAATCAGCCGTCTTTGAAGCCCAAATTTCGTTCGGACGCTGCTGACTAGATGTCAGTTGCGCGCTAGGTCAAATACTAAGCCTCGCAGGCCGCATTGTCACATTTAACGATTACTGTTAATCTTTCAGGGCTGGAACAACATGCCAGCGGTATTCAGGGTGATGCACAATATATGGGTCGTTACTACACATTTAAGAATGAGTTCCTCTCACTAATGAAATCTTGTTAGACTGAGGGAACATCTTCCAGCGCCTTTCGAAAAGTTAGTTTTATATTTTAGGCCCCCGATGGATGTAACCATTCCCTTCCCGTGCACTGCTCTCGTTATTTCCACTTTGACATATTTTTTTAGTCGGGACAAAATGTACCCGCTGATATAACAAGGTTTCCACATCTCAAACTCTACCACCACGTTAATCGACGCCAACGTTCGAATCTGATTGTACACAACAATCGTAGTACGGGGATTTCCAACATTTTGCGGGAAGTCCTTATATGTTGGCGTATGTATAAACGTACTAGTGCAGATTTAGAGTCAACTTTCGACTGAGCATGCCACAGGTTAGCAGGGAGGGGTGCTCAAATCTACGGTTCAGCATTTTTATAACAGAAACGCATCTGGTTTCCGGAAAGTAACGACAGAATTTTGCATGCTGCGCTGGACTTAAATAGACGTATGTTGCGTTGAGATAGTGTCAACTCAAGTAAACGAATTTTCACCTTACGAAGGACAGGTTAGAACACACGAGCTTGTCCTACTAGGTTTTTTTGACCTAAGAAGTCCGCCAGACATCAATATGCTCTTACTCGCATGGGAGTATGCGGTTTCTGCTGACAAAGTGGTACGAAGAGTTTTTTCTACGAAGTCCGTCATTACACATCGCATGGTAGTAATGAAGACAAATCTGATCCTCCAGTTAATCAATGGCGGGTGTTCTAATACTCCTTTACGACGCCTCATGGGCCTCAATACCTTCTGTAATAGACAATTTTATGACTATGAAGCACACATATACGTTGGAAGAGCCAAATTTGCGGACTGAACTGCCACGCCAGCTGTAAACATGCTTCTTCGAAACTGC